CTCAATTCTGAAGTCTTATTTCCAAACAACCACTCCGGATGTGTGCACGCAGGCTTTTAGGCAAGTTGGTATTGATTTCAGAATTGTTGATGGTGGTATGAGGGTTGTGTATGTGGATATTGGAGTGTCACGCAGAGTAACAGCAGAAATACCGAAACTGTTAAGTATACCACAGTTATACTCGATTGAATGCGTCAAAACCAAAAGCTTGAAAATATCTGCAGTTCGAAAGCTTCCAAGGTGTTTTGAAAGTTATTTTTGTCAGTCTGTTTGCAAGCTGATCAAAAGAAAAATAAAAATGGGATGTTGTATGTAAAGTTGTGAAGAAAAAGACGACCAAAAAAAATCTCAAAAAGAACTAAAAATGGGGTTGAGAATTTAATCGATTGATTTTTTTTTTCTTTTTAATCAGTTGTATCGCCGAGTTCACATTACTGTTTGCTATCACGGGGTCAAAATGGTCACTGATTGGATCAACACATATCTGAACTGTCATAAGTCCTTTCAATAAAAGATATTCGTTTGTTAAACGTTCTTTCGTTATTGAGATATTAACTTGTAGAACTTGCTCGCAAAAACTCTTAAATTAAACGTTGCCTGCTTTGAATCGTCTAGCTGCTATGGCTGATATGTCCAGTATTCCTGGGATTCTTTAGCGTGAGGTCTGAGTCAGTTAGTTGGTAAGTGCTGGCTGGCTGTTCACACTCTGAAAGCTGCTTTGTAGGTTTCCAAACAAATTGAAAGAGAAAATGAACTGTAAATAAGTGATTTTAATTGATCTTTTTGAATTTTTTGAAATAAAAAATATTAATTTTATTACATAAAAGTTACACAATTGTAACTTTTGTTGAATCCACAGGGTTTTCTCATTCTCACATACTATTCTCACATACTGTAGGTTTATTTTCTAAACTGTAGTTTTATTTATTTGAAAAAAATAAATTCTGTTAACTTGATCAAGTGTTAATATTAAGTATATTCTTTTTGTACTTTTTTAAGGTAAAGAGGAAAAATAACAGCTTATTTAAAAAAAAGTACAAAAAGAATATAGTAAATGAATTATATATAAAAATAATTATAATAGTACAAAATAACTATAAATTATTATAAGTTTTTGTGTAAAAACAAATAGCACAAATATTTATACAATTTATTATAATTTAATGGTTTGATAAAAAGTCGAAAACTAAACAGATAAGCTTGAAAAGCTGTGATTTTTTTAATTTTTTCCAAATTTATTTCTTATTTATCAAAAAATAGCTCAATTATAAAATAATAATTTGAACTAATGTGCACAATAAATACAAAAACATTTAAAATTGTTTTATATAGTAAAAAATATAATTAAAAAATTAATAAAATAGAATTTGAATATTATTAGAATTTTATAATAATAATTACTATTTAAAAAATATAAAATATAAAAATAGATTTAATAACTGTTTTGATATAAAAAAATATAAATTAAATTAATTAATATTAATTAAATAATATTTCAGAACAAACGCACAAAACTACAGTCAGACAAGTTTGCCTTAAATGAAATAGTTTGAATTAAATGGTTCACGTTAATAATTTAAAAACCATTAACAATAGTAAACAGTGGGTTAAACTAGAAAATAATTAAATGGTTAAATAGAATAATATTTAAACTAACATTTATTTTAAAATTTAATGTACAGTTGAATCTTAAAAATGAAACCAAAACACATTTTAAGTATTGTTTTGTATGTCTTAATATGTTTGTTTCGTTGAGTTTAAACATGTCAAAACATACACCGCCTTATTTGGATACGTTTGTGTTACTTTTTTTGTAAATACAATAAATTAACAGTATTTCCTATCGTGATGGGTAAATACTGTTATTAACTATAAACCAAATAGTACATATTAAAACGAATTCAACAAAAGGAAATACTGCCAAACCTCCCAAGAGTGGGTTTTTAAAAATCTCTGCTTAATTATGGCGAATTAAACATATACCCACTTGATAAAGAGTGGGCCTATGATTTTTTTGGTTTGTTTTCAATTAATGTTCGTTTAATAGAGAACAACAAGAACGTTGAAAACACATTCTGGGAAATCAGACTGTATATATAATTGATTTAAATTTGAAATGTTATGGTTATGCAATCAAATAAATTTTAATTGTACTTTACTTTGTTCGCTAACACATTAAAATGTTGGTGATGATTATGATTGTGTAATAGTTTATAGTAATCTTTACTGGTTTATACCTATCTTATTCTTTATTTAATGGTTTGGGTTTTTGACTTGCTTTTAATTATTTAATTATTTATATAAACTTGAATGTAAAAGAGCAATTAATTAGTTTGGGTTATAGATCGAAAAATATTATAATTGAACTATAATTTTTACCATCTAACCCAAACTTGTCGTTTAAGTCAAACTTGTCATACTGTAATTTAATTAATACGTTCTAATAAATAGATTTGTTTATTATAAAATAATTTATAAACTTGTTGAATAATAATTAAACAATCAAAACACGTTTTAATTGTTTTGAACGTTACTCCGACACTATTTTCTATATCACAACTCTATTACAACAGATAAAATGTTGGCTTCATAAGCAGTGTCAGTCAATATGCATTAAAAAAGTATCATGAATGATCAAATCAAGATGTTTTTTAATGCTATTTATGTTATATATGATATAAGTTATTAGAAGTCAAACATAATAAAAATACTTATATTTCGAATAATAATAATTAATCAAAGATATTATCTAATCATTAATTAATTATTTTCAAATAAATATTCAATATTTACAGATTTCTGTAAAATTATGAGAACATATAAACAATCTTAAGTGTTGTTAAAACAGAATAAAAACAATCCTGTAACTTAAAATGCTTTAAATATCACAATGTGAAAAAAATATAACAAAAACGTAGTAATACATTGTTAATAAATGCTATTTTATTTGTTCAAATAAAGAAACATACAAATACGTTTTTTATTTACCAATATTATTATGAATAACTTACGCAATTGAACGGGCTGTTTTTAGAAATAAAAACAAAAAAACACAATTTTATAACACTTAACAATTATCAAAGTTTTACGTTTTCAACTTGAAACGAAACAAATTCTATTTTAGTATTATACACAGGATCATATTATATAAGATATCGCTCTATCATATGGGGTTTTTAGTCTAAATTATCAGGATTAGAAATATTTAACATTAACAAATTTCTTTTATTTTTTCAATTGTATAAAATAAACAATTTCAAGAAACAAAAATAGTTGTTTATTACATATATTATTATACAAAAATTGTAATTATTTAACCACTCTGACATCAAAATAAATTGAAACTTTACCAGATATAAAATATAAGTTATTTATTTATAAACATAATATTTGGGGTATTTTCGAATGTTAATTTGTTTTTTTACATGAAAAATTTACAAGGCATTTATATATAATATTACAACTCTTTAATTAAAATAATATTAAATAATTAATTTTTCTTGTAGTTTTGTCAAAACTTAAAGGTTTTGCCAAACCAAAATTTTTGAACATAATTTGATTGTATTTCAAATCGATATTTGCAATACAAACAACAAATATACCATTTAATAATTATTTATTAGCATATTTTAATGGTTTAATGATACATTGTTATTCAAACAATCCTCAGTGTTTTTTAATCGCCTGTTAATTTTTGAAAAAAACTAATTAAAAATGATACGTTGACATAATATGTATAAAACGAGGGTTTCAGTGTTTCAGAATAATTTCTTAACAAATTGAATTTCGTTCAGAAATGTACATAATTCAAAAGCAAATTAGTTAAAATAGATTTATTATATCAATTGATCTTAGGTAAATAAAGGCTCTAACAGATGTTTTAAATGCAAAACATCTGTTTTTTTTAATTTTGTCGTTTTTTATGATAAACAACAAAGAATTTGAAATCAATCAAAATCTTAAAAATATATAGGAAAATTGACAATTTAACCAACACATCGGTAAAATACACAAACATCACATGAGCTCTGGTGATGATATAAAAATGATTGACATCGTCAGTGTTTTAAATATCATAAACATTTCGTTGTAATTCTTAAGTTTGTCGAAATGATAATACAATAAAGTATAAACTATCTGTGTTAAATTGTGTTTTGAAAAATATTGTGACTGCAAATTTGTAATACATTCAAAAGAAAACAAATGACATCAATAGAAAATAATGAGTGTAATGTCACCATTGACATAAAAGTAAGTATTTCATTTTTTAAAAAAGTCGGTTTGGATTGATGGCGATAAGGTAAACATCATATAATATTTCAAAGTACCTCTTGGCGATTAAGAGATCCTTACCATCAAGCACAATTTGTTTGGTAATTCAGTTGACAAAGAGACGGTCATCGAGCTTAAGATGAGAAATGGAAACTTGAAGTGAATTACGAGGGACAGTGTGTGATGTCAACACAATTCAAGTACGACACGTGGTATCGTATTGGTGTTATGAACGACTTTTTGACTCTATATATTGATGGTATTTCCAAGTTAAGACGCGCACAAAATGTCATTATCTTAGAGGACAACAGTGAAATGTTGGCAGGGCATGAAGGGTCACCAACACATCGGGACATATACAGTTTCGGTGACATCATGATAGTCAATAATAACATAGAAACATTGGTATCCGAAATAGTGAAGAGAGGAATTGATGTCACTCTTTATTGATGACTAAGTCGGCAACGAAGTCATCAAAGTATCGACTTGGCTGTTCAAAGAAATTTTGGGTTTCGACGCTTCGTATGAAAAACTGAACGGCTTGGCTTCATTTTAGATGTACTTTTTGAGGGTCTTCAATGAGTTGAATGAAGTACTTGGCTTTCTTCGACAGAGTGATGATGGGAGTTAAGGAAATTGTTATACAAAGCATGAAGAGAGTCCATAGCAAAAAAGTGAATATACGACATTGATAACTGAGAGTGTAGAAATTATTCAAATCAACGACCATGTCAGTGAAGAAAACACTAAAGAAATTTTTGGGGATATTGACTCTTCAAAAGTCACCAACACAATAACATAATGAAAGTACCTAAAAATAAGTTTATGACTCTAACAGCACCACAAAGCCCTATTAACCCTCTTTAATTAACAAAAGAAGACTTTGAGTCACCACAACTGTTAGATTTGGAAAACACTTCTGTGTCGCCAAAAACAAGAAATTACTTGTTTTGTGTCCACCAATGTTCATAAGTCCTTTCACTCTTGAAAATAATTACTATTTCAAAGAGAAACATTTTGAACATCACGTCAGACTTCCTGTGTAAATTTCTGTCACTTTTAAGACTCTATTTGCTTCTCTTCTCTGCTCTATTACATCTGACCACAACATTCTCATTCACATCACAGAGCTTTTGTGTGGAGTTTTCTAATAAGGCGGATGTCCTCAAAAGACACTCCCGTATCTTCTTGAAAAGGAAAGATGCAATAGACTCTGTGTTGCATTTGTTACTTTACATAACACCAGCGAACCAAAACCATTTCCAAATATTTGATAAAGACCATCCAATCCATATCTCAGTCACTTTAAAACGCTATACAGTGTTAATGTCAATCATTCATGCCTCACTTGTCTTTAAAATTAAACAAAGCGAATACGACAATGTAATATACACCGTCTCAATATTTCTATTGTTTTTCAACAATACCAGACACTGCGAAGCGCAGTCTTAGACTCCAACGAGGCGTTAGAAAGTTTATTCAAGTGTGTAGTTCTTATGATGAAGACTTTGTATGTAGAACAAG